TCTTAAACTTCTGGAAGCTAGCGTGATATGTTAATCCTGAGTATATGCTTTTGGCTGTGTATTGACCCTGTGGATTTGTCTCTCTAAGAAAAGAAGCTGAGCGCCTTACCAAGTGCAGTCCTGCACCTCTCTCTCCGGAGTCATCTGGAAGGGAATTCACACTGTTTAGCATCCTCCTTGACACACATCTACTGCTGCTGTCACCGCCCCCCTACAACCTTCATGGGAGTGAAGACACGGAGTCCCTACCAATTGTCCCATTGTAGGGAACAAAGAAAGCCAATGTTTCTTCTGTATAGATTGCTTCTCATCACCTCTCCATACCGCCCCATTTTCCCACATGCTCATGCCCTGTGTCTGCCTCTCGTCATCATTTTGTGAGAGGCCCATGTGAAATCTATTCTTGTGTGAGTTTTATAAAGATGTACACTGTGCTTAACCCCCACCCATCTTTGGTATCCCCTAGTGCAGTAAAGCCCCCTGAGTGGTGATTTCTCCCAGCAAGGGTTAGGGGAGCTCCTTCTGCAGAAGCCAGCCCCCCTTTTCCTTGCGTCTCCTCCCACAGGACCAAGTTGTTTAATAGGCCAGAGATTCCGTCAGTGGGGAACCCCTTCTCCCTTGACCACTGTAAGCATGAGTGCTGATGTGGTCTTCCTCTCCTCCCAACTTCTTTATCCTGCACCTTTGCCACTCAGGCCCCACCTGTGTCATTCCACCACCATCCTTCACCTCTCCCTCAGCCTCATGGAGAGGACACATTTTCTAATGTCTGTATATAGTATATATACTACATAAAATATAAATTATATATATATATATATATACTAATTTATGTCTTGTTTTTCAAACAAGAATGATTAAATCTATTCATCTTACTATCCCAATAAGTATTGACAGTGCCTCTTTGTGAGTGTTCTTGTATCCTTGAATTGTTGGTTGGTGGTGGCCCTCTGAGTGCTCTCCTTATGCCTTTCCTCCTATCTACTTGGGACCCAGTGGGTGATGACAGCTGAGGAGCCTGCTCCTTCCACCTCCCCTCTGCTCCTCATAGAAGCCTCCTGTTGGTCACAGGAGTTGGATACTGTCTATTCCTTTCTCTTGCCCATGGGGTCTCTGACTCACCTAGTTACCATGGCTGTGACCTCAGAGTTGAAGGGGGTTGGGGCAGGGTGGGGGTAGGCACAATGTGCTCTGTGCCTAGTACACTGGATGGCCTGGGAGTCAGGAGACAGGGTTTTAGGCCAGCCTTCAGGTCGGAATTGGGAAATGGGGCCTTTCCCTTTGAAGGATATCCAGTCACCTCAGAGTGTATCCCAACTTCTTTGTAGTTTAGACTAGCAAATCCTTTTCAATGGCCTCTGACAATTTATTGGGTGCGGATTGATAAGACAAAAGCAACAGGACCCTAAGCAGGGCTGACCTCTCCAGCTTTTCAGAGAATTACCTAATAGTGATGAATGATTTTTTTTTCTCTGTTCTATTTCCTTTTGGTAATCACAGATCCCCACTAGCCTATGAGGTGCCTTTGTGCCAGCTAGAAAAAGTTTCTCCCACCCTGGCCAGGTGGCTCAGTTGGTTGGAGCATCATACCGATATACCAAAGTTGCGGGTTCAATTCCCAGCCAAGGCACATACAAAAATCAACCAATGAAAGCATAAATAAGTGGAACAACAAACCTCTTAATCTCTCTTTATCTCTTTCTTTCCTTTCTCTCTCTAAAATCAATCAATCAATAAAATAAAAAATAAAATAAATCAATAAATAAAAAGAAAGAAAAAGTTTCTTCCTGCTATCCCCCCAGCCCCTCAAGTGATGAATTAGGAAAAAAACAAAACAAAACACCCTCTGGGTGGTGCTAGCTCTGCGGGCAGACGTCTTGGTCATTTTAGCTCCACCCAGCTCAGCTGGTCTCATTGGCCAGGTGCACATACTCCACAACCATGTATAGTGGCTCTGATTAGTCACTTCCTCCCAAAGATTGAGCACAGACTTTTTTTCATGTCTGTAAAGGCGTGGCTAAAGCAGTTAGGAGGCAAAGCACAGAGGAGGAGCCAGAGACAGTGTAGTCAGGCTGGGCTGCTCTGCATGTTTCCCAACACAAAACCAGAACTCTGTCTGCATGCGGGAGGCCATCAGGGGTGACAGGCTTAGCCTGGTGGTAGAGCTCTTGTGGGAGCTGTCCCCCAAAGATCCTGACCCTTTCAAGTGAAAGGCAGTGCCAGTATACAGTGAGGTCTGCTGTTCTTCAAAATGACCCAACTGGACAGTCCAGAAACTTGGACCCCCCTCTGGCCCTGCATTACACTGGTAGCTCCTTACAGTCAGAAAGCATGCATATTTGGTTCTATACCTTGGGTACGTACCCACACAGAACCGGGTACATAGTAATTCTTCAATAAGTATTTGCTGAATAAATGAGTGTTGAATGAGATGACTCATGAGAGAGCCCTTCCAGACCTCCAGACCTCGAGAAAAGGGCCCTCTTTCCTCTGGGAATGGTTAATCCAAGGTACTGCAGTTAGACTAGGCCAGGCAGGCTGGCACCTCCTATCAAAGGCTAAGAAGTCGGGTCCATCATCCAGCATCCTGAATTTCACCAACAACTTTCAAAAAGCTTCAGGAAATCTCCTGAGGTGATTGACCAGTGGTGTTCTTTTCTGTGGACCCAGGGTCATTATCTGTAGTAGTCAGAAGCACTGAGGGAGGCCATTTTTCCACCAGCAACTTCCATGCCATCTTTGGTCTGAGCCAGAGCCTGAAGCAGATATTCTCTGGCCACCCTATACCAGACACCAGTCCCCAGAGCCTGATTCCTGCCTTTCTGGTTTCAGCCAATAAAGGGAAATAGGTTCATGCTATTGGCATGGGCCCAGGATGCCTGTGGTACTGGCACAGCCACATTTTTTCAAGCTGTTGTCGAGGCACTGTGGATAAGAGGCAATTTCCTCAGCAATGAATTGGAAGGACTTGCCTCAGCCAGAACTTTTCCTGCCAAAGGGGCAGGGGGGATCAGTTGCCAACATGAGGAAGGGGCATGAATTTATGTCTTAGGCTTAAATTCTTCCAAGCAGCCACTAGGATGGGAATAATAACTGCATCCCATTCCCCATGCTATAGGCTGGGAGCCAGATTGTGTGTGTCTGGAGTAAAAAGAAGGTCTTCCATGGAGTGGAAGAAAATGACCTCAGAAGGTTTGGTCCCGGGCCTTCGCAAAATGTCCTGGACTCCAGGTGGGTCTCTTGGTTCCAATGCCTTGTCCTCCTGGAAGCCACTGTTAAGTGGAAATTATGGAAGCTTGCCTTCACACAGGAAGAGAACTGCTTATTTCACTTCAGTGTTTCTAGAGACTCCTTCTCACCCATGCCCACACACCCACATACCTACCCAATCCTTGGGTGCTGACCATACTCCCAGCATCATGGGGATGTGCTCTGGTGCCCACACTGACATTTCCAGCTGCAGGTTCTGGACCTACCACTTATGAATGAGCTCAGTTTTCACTTTCTTGCCCTCTTATCTATGGTGTCTATGTTTACCTCTGGATATTAATTCCTCATTGTTATTTTTACAGCTTTGGCTAAAAGGAATATGCATTTATATTATGTTGGGAGTCTTCCACAACACAAAAAAGTTCATCTCTGCCCTGAAATATGCAAAACCAATTGTGCCTGAACACTTGCCATATGTCAGGCACTGTGTTAAGATCTTTACATGCATGATCTCATTTAATCTTCCTAACAGTCCTTTGAGAGAGATACTATGATCGTATATACTTCTCAGAGGGAAAAACTAAATCTTAGAAAGATTAAGTCACTAGCTCAAGGTGACACAGCTGGTAAGTGGTAAGCCAGTCAGTTTTCAAACCCAGCCCAGACTTTCAACTGCTACCCTACAGTACTCAGCCCAACCCTACCTTTAAAGTACTTCCTCCTAGAAACAGGCATGGATGCAGCCACACTCATGAGAAGATGACCTGTAACTTTTGTTTGTGGTCAAGGCAGCATGTGGGTAGTAACAGGTCATTGGTAGGTGTGGGATACTGCAAGCCCACACAAACCCCTGCAACACACACACACCTCTCTTCCCTGGACTT